TGAGAACAGCATTCCGATACCTTAGTAAGGAATCATTCAAGACACTGTACACCGTGTATGTCAGGCCCATACTGGAGTATGCAGCACCTGTTTGGAACCCGCACTTGATAAAGCACGTCAAGAAACTAGAGAAAGTACAAAGGTTTGCGACAAGGTTAGTTCCAGAGCTAAGGGGAATGTCCTATGAGGAAAGATTAAGGGAAATCGGCCTGACCACACTGGAGGACAGGAGGGTCAGGGGAGACATGATAACGACATATAAAATACTGCGTGGAATAGACAAGGTGGACAAAGACAGGATGTTCCAGGGAGGGGACACAGAAACAAGAGGCCACAATTGGAAGTTGAAGACACAAATGAGTCAGAGAGATAGTAGGAAGTATTTCTTCAGTCATAGAGTTGTAAGGCAGTTGAATAGCCTAGAAAATGACGTAGTGGAGGCAGGAACCATACACAGTTTTAAGACGAGGTTTGATAAAGCTCATGGAGCGGGGAGAGAGAGGGCCTAGTAGCAACCGGTGAAGAGGCGGGGCCAGGAGCTAGGACTCGACCCCTGCAACCACAAATAGGTGAGTACAAATAGGTGAGTACACACACACACACACACATACACACACACACACATACACACACACACTACACACACACATGCACACACAACACACACACATACACATACCACACACACACACACACACACCAGTACACACACACACACACACACACACACACACACACACACACACACACATACACACACACACACACACACACACACACACACACAACACAACACACACACACACACACACACACACACACACACACCACACACACACACACACACACACACACACACAACACACACACACACACACATACACCACACACACACACACACACCACACACACACACACACACACACACACACCACACACACACACACACACACACACACACACACAACACACACACACACACACACACACATACACACACACATACACACACACACACACACACACACACACACACACACACACACACACACACACACATACACACACACACACACACACACACACACATACACACACACACACACACACACACACACACACACACACACACACACACACACACACACACACACACACACACACACCACACATACACACACAACACTCACACACACACACACACACACACACACACACACATACACACACACACACACACACACACACACACACACACACAACTTGGCCAACATCTTTTAATACGACCAAAATACCGCAGATAAGATATATTTTGGCTATCAGTTGAGTAATGTGAGATAGCTCTAACCTGAGTAATGTGAGATAGCTCTAACCTGAGTAATGTGAGATATCTCTAACCTGAGTAATGTGAGATAGCTCTAACCTGAGTAATGTGAGATATCACTAACCTGAGTAATGTGAGATAGCTCTAACCTGAGTAATGTGAGATATCTCTAACCTGAGTAATGTGAGATATCTCTAACGTGAGTAATGTGAGATATCTCTAACGTGAGTAATGTGAGATATCTCTAACCTGAGTAATGTGAGATATCACTAACCTGAGTAATGTGAGATAGCTCTAACCTGAGTAATGTGAGATATCTCTAACCTGAGTAATGTGAGATATCACTAACCTGAGTAATGTGAGATATCTCTAACCTGAGTAATGTGAGATATCACTAACCTGAGTAATGTGAGATATCTCTAACGTGAGTAATGTGATATATCTCTAACCTGAGTAATGTGAGATATATCTAACGTGAGTAATGTGATATATCTCTAACCTGAGTAATGTGAGATATCTCTAACGTGAGTAATGTGAGATATCTCTAACGTGAGTAATGTGAGATATATCTAACGTGAGTAATGTGATATATCTCTAACCTGAGTAATGTGAGATATCTCTAACGTGAGTAATGTGAGATATCTCTAACCTGAGTAATGTGAGATATCACTAACTGAGTAATGTGAGATATCTCTAACGTGAGTAATGTGATATATCTCTAACCTGAGTAATGTGAGATATCTCTAACGTGAGTAATGTGAGATATCTCTAACCTGAGTAATGTGAGATATCACTAACCTGAGTAATGTGAGATATCTCTAACGTGAGTAATGTGATATATCTCTAACCTGAGTAATGTGAGATATCTCTAACGTGAGTAATGTGAGATATCTCTAACGTGAGTAATGTGAGATATCTCTAACCTGAGTAATGTGAGATATCTCTAACCTGAGTAATGTGAGATATCTCTAACGTGAGTAATGTGAGATATCTCTAACCTGAGTAATGTGAGATATCTCTAACGTGAGTAATGTGAGATATCTCTAACCTGAGTAATGTGAGATATCTCTAACCTGAGTAATGTGAGATATCTCTAACGTGAGTAATGTGAGATATCTCTAACCTGAGTAATGTGAGATATCTCTAACGTGAGTAATGTGAGATATCTCTAACCTGAGTAATGTGAGATATCTCTAACGTGAGTAATGTGAGATATCTCTAACCTGAGTAATGTGAGATATCTCTAACGTGAGTAATGTGAGATATCTCTAAACCTGAGTAATGTGAGATATCTCTAACGTGAGTAATGTGAGATATCTCTAACCTGAGTAATGTGAGATATCTCTAACCTGAGTAATGTGAGATATCTCTAACGTGAGTAATGTGAGATATCTCTAACCTGAGTAATGTGAGATATCTCTAACCTGAGTAATGTGAGATATCTCTAACCTGAGTAATGTGAGATATCACTAACCTGAGTAATGTGAGATATCTCTAACGTGAGTAATGTGAGATATCTCTAACCTGAGTAATGTGAGATATCTCAAAGTGAGTAATGTGAGATATCTCTAACCTGAGTAATGTGAGATATCTCTAACCTGAGTAATGTGAGATATCTCTAACGTGAGTAATGTGAGATATTCTCTAACCTGAGTAATGTGAGATATCTCTAACCTGAGTAATGTGAGATATCTCTAACCTGAGTAATGTGAGATATCACTAACCTGAGTAATGTGAGATATCTCTAACGTGAGTAATGTGAGATATCTCTAACCTGAGTAATGTGAGATATCTCTAACGTGAGTAATGTGAGATATCTCTAACCTGAGTAATGTGAGATATCTCTAACCTGAGTAATGTGAGATATCTCTAACGTGAGTAATGTGAGATATCTCTAACCTGAGTAATGTGAGATATCTCTAACCTGAGTAATGTGAGATATCTCTAACCTGAGTAATGTGAGATATCTCTAACGTGAGTAATGTGAGATATCTCTAACGTGAGTAATGTGAGATATCTCTAACCTGAGTAATGTGAGATATCTCTAACCTGAGTAATGTGAGATATCTCTAACCTGAGTAATGTGAGATATCACTAACCTGAGTAATGTGAGATATCTCTAACGTGAGTAATGTGAGATATCTCTAACCTGAGTAATGTGAGATATCTCTAACCTGAGTAATGTGAGATATCTCTAACCTGAGTAATGTGAGATATCTCTAACCTGAGTAATGTGAGATATCTCTAACTCTACCAATAACTTCAAATTGAAAAATACTGATAATTTCTACATGACTTTCACCAGGTCCAGGAGCTGTTACTCGACCCTCACAACTATATATAGGTCAGTACAATGTTTCTGGGTTAAGTCTACCTCGTTCACCAGGTCCAGGAGCTGTTACTCGACCCTCACAACTATATATAGGTCAGTACAATGTTTCTGGGTTAAGTCTACCTCGTTCACCAGGTCCAGGAGCTGTTACTCGACCCTCACAACTATATATAGGTCAGTACAATGTTTCTGGGTTAAGTCTACCTCGTTCACCAGGTCCAGGAGCTGTGAATCGACCCTCACAACTATATATAGGTCAGTACAATGTTTCTGGGTTAAGTCTACCTTGTTCACCAGGTCCAGGAGCTGTGAATCGACCCTCACAACTATATATAGGTCAGTACAATGTTTCTGGGTTAAGTCTACCTTGTTCACCAGGGTTCAGGAGCTGTGATTCAACCCACACCTTCTTCCTGGTAGACCAGGATGCCAATAGATGGCACTACTAACCCACTACAGAATTCGTGTTAAGTTTTAGTGAAGGCCAGAGTGCAAATCTTTTACCAGCCTGCCTGTTCCAACAATTATCATGAGTTTCTGGGGCTGGAAGGATTATTTCTGATTAATTAATAGACTGACTATGGATTGTAAACCTATCAGGGTAATAACCCACAATAACACAAGCAATTAGGTTCAACCCTATCTACTACACCATGGTTTGTGTGTTAGGTTTCAAGACTATCTACTACATGAGGGTCATTAAGGCTGCATGACAGCTATACACTAAGACCCGCGTCAGGAAACATTTGTCCTGATTCCTGACGAACCTTACCTAACCTAACCTAACCTAACCTAACCTAACCTAACCTAACCTAACCTAACCTAACCTAACCTAACCTAACCTAACCTAACCTCCACTCATGAATATTTTAATACCCAAAATACTGATTAATGTAAACTACCAGTTTATATACACTGAGATACATAAACCGCAGTGTATATACACAAAGAGATTTTCACCTCCCATTGCATATATACATTGGCATACATCTTGGTGTATATACAATGAGATTCACACCTATCTGTGTATATACACTGATATATACCTCTGAGTTCATATACACTGAGATATACCTCTCAGAGTGTATATACACTGGTATATACACCTCTCAGTGTATATGCACTGGTATATACACCTCTCAGTGTATATACACTGGTATATACACCTCTCAGTGTATATACACTGGTATATACACTTCTCAGTGTATATACAATAAAATAAACACATGTCACAGTATATATATGAGAAATACGGTTTACTGACCCATGCTCGGCAGGTCCTTTTGAGGAACCCTTACTTATTTAGCGCTCTGCCGTTGTTACGAGACATCATTAGTGACTAACCTTTGACATGATGTCATTATCAACATCGATCTCTGGCTCTGCCCAGTCGACCTTGACTTCAGTCGACCCCCAGAGCAGGATTCGACCTGAGAAGAGTTTTCTCCTGGCCATGGCCGCTGCCTTGTGACTGGTATACTCCACGAAGGCGTAGCCTCTATTCTTCGTTCTATCGTTGATAGATGGATAGAGGATGATCTTAACTACGCCCTCCGTTACCCGCTTCATCTCCTCCAGCACCTCTTCGCGGCCCCGACACTTAGGGATGCCCCCGACGAAAAGGCGGTTGTTGTCAACGCTACGGGTCACACCCAGGTACTTCTTAGGGCGCACTTCGATGTTATTGAGGAGTCGAAGTGCATTCTCTGCCTCCTGTTTGGAGGTGTACTGCGCGAAGCCGTACCCTCTGTTGTTCCCGTTGATGTCCATCATCAAACGGACTTCGTAGATCTTCCCGGCTCGCTCCATTACAGGGACCAATTCATCTTCAAACAGGTCCCTGGGGATTTTCCCAATAAAGACCTCACAGCCCTTAGGGGGACTGGGACCCTCCCAGCCTGGAGGTGGACCGTACCGTCTCTGACCGTTCTCCTGCACCAGCAGGTACCCAGTGCGCTGCAGTAGCTCCTGCAGTGCCAGCGGCAGGTTCTGCAGGGTGCCAGGGACGGCAGGGTCATTAATAACAGTGCCTTCACTGCTGCCAGTGCCTTCAGGTCCGCTTGTCATGGTTCTTCAAGACTGAATCAGCCGGAACCAGCCTTGGTGCGCACGCTAGTCTTATCTTATCATCCCGCCCACTCTTATCTCTCCTTCATAGAAAATAACACCGACTGATTTGCCCGTGAACTGGAGAAACACTGAGCAAACACACACACAGTGAGGCAATAGATGTCACTGTGTGTATACACAGAATGGTGTATATCTCTCAGTTTACATACACTGAGGTATGTTTCTCTCAGTGTATATACACTGAGAGGTTGTGTCTCACAGCGTATACACAGAGGTGTATATCTCAGTGTATATATAAAATATGTCTCTCAGTTTACATACAATGAGGTGAGTATTTTTCAGTATTTATACACTGAGAGGTGTATCTCCCAGTGTATATACACTGAAAAGTCTATATATCTCAGTGTATATCCACTAAGAGGTATAATTTATATATTTCAATGTATACACTCCGAGAATTGTGTCTATCTCGGTGTATATACACTATTAGTTTATATTAATCACTATTTTAGGCAATAAAGTATTCTTGACCTGCGGTGAACAATGGTGAACCAAACAGTGAAAGTTGTTCACTATCATGCAGTACCTGTCTCAGTAATCCCTCACTGTCCTAGTAATCCCTCACGGTCCCAGTAATCCCTCACTGTCCCAGTAATCCCTCACTGTCCCAGCAATCCCTCAATGTCCCAGTTAATCCTCTACTGTCCCAGTAATCTCCTACTGTCCAAGTAATCACTCACTATCCCAGTAGAGTTTCACTGTAACAGTAATCCCTTACTGTTTCAGTAATCCCTCACTGTCCCAGTAATCCCTCATTGTCTCAGTAATCTCTCACTGTCCCAGTAATCCCTCACTGTCCTAGTAATCCCTCACGGTCCCAGTAATCCCTCATTGTCCCAGTAATTCGTCACTGTCTCAGTAATTACTCACTCTCCCAGTAATCCCTCACTGTGCCGGAGTCAAATGCAATGTTTGCAGCTCTCACAGAGACCCACATAAAGGATCATTATTACAACGAAATATGGATCCCAGGTTATAACCTGTTCCGATGTGACAGAGTGAACAGGCAACATGGGGGAGGGGGCCAGTATGTCACAGAGGCGCTCATTTGCTACTAAACTACTAAACATCTCAAATAATGGATATCTGGAGTATACCTGGAGAGGGTTTTGGGTTTCAACGCCCCAATGGCTCGGTCTGTCTGAGACCAGACCTCGTGGTGAACCAGGGTCTGATCAACCAGGCTGTTACTGCTGGCCACACACAAACTGATGCACGAGCCACAGCCCGGCTGGTCAAGTACTGACTTTAGGTGCTGTCCAGTGCCTTCTTGAGGACGGCCAGGAGTCTGTTGGTAATCCCCCTTATGTGTGCTGGGAGGCAGTTGAACAGTCTGACACTTTTTGTGTTGTCTCTCAGTGTACTCGTGGCTCCCCTTCTTTTCACTGAGGAAATGTTGCATCTCCTGCTGAGTCTTTTGCTTTCATAGACAGTGATTTTCGTGTGCAAGTTTGGTACTAATCCCTTTAGGATTTTCCAAGTGTACATTATCGTGTATCTCTCTCGCCTACATTCAAGGGAATGCAAATTAAGGGCCTTCAACCATTCCCAGTAATTTAGGTGCCTTATCATACTTACGTGTACCGTGTAATTTTTTGTACACTCTCCAAGTCAGAAATTTCACCTGCCTTGAATGGGGCCGTTAGTGTACAGCAGTATTACAGCCTAGAGAGAACAAGCGATTTGAAAAGAATCATTATGGGCTTGGTGTCCCTAGTTTTGAAGGTTCTCATTATCCATCCTATCATTTTCCTAGCTGATGCGGTAGATACATTGTTGTGGTCCTTGAAGGTGAGATCCTCTGACATTATCACTCCCAGGTCCTTCACATTACTTTTTTCCTCTTTGTATGGTTAGAATTTGTCATATACCCTGATACAGTTTTAATTTCCTATAGTTTTCCATATCTGAGTAGTTGAAATTTCTCTTCATTGAACTTCATATTGTTTGGAGTGGCTTATTTGAAGGTTTGGTTGATGTCCGCTGGGAGTCTTGCAGTGTCTTCGATGGAGGTGACGTCACTGCCATGGTAATTCGGGTGTCATCCGCAAAGGAAGACACAGATGGCTTACATCTCTGTCTATGTCAGACGTGAGGATGAGGAATAGAATGGGAGCGAGTACTGTGCCTTGTGGAACACAGCTTTTCACAGTAGCTGCCTCAGACTTTACTCTGTTTACTACTACTATTTTTGTTCTATTTGTTAGGAAATTATAGATTCATCCACCAACTTTTCTTGTTATTCCTTTATCACGCATTTTGTGTGCTATTACACCATAGTCACACTTGTCAAAGCCTTTGCATAGTCTGTGAATACTACATCTGTATTTTGTTTATCCTCTACAGCATAAGGTGATCCAGTAGCTGGGACAGGCAGGAGCGACCTGCTCTAATCCCGTGTTGCCCTGGGTTGTGTAACTGATGGTTGGCGATCATGTTTCTTACAACCCTTTCAAAGACTTTTATTATATGGGATGTTAGCGCTATTGGGTCTGTAGTTTTTTGTAGTTGAAGTTTTGGTAATAAAGATTGAAAACCAAAACCTTATCATTGTGGTGGTATACAAGCCTCTGGATACAACTTCCCAGCAATTCCAGGAACAGCTTTTGAAAACTGACCAGTGTCTGGAAAATCTCCCAACTCCTGCCCCAAACATATTGCTACTGGGAGATTTCAACTTCAGACACTTAAAATGGAGGAGTGTAGCAAATAATATTTTAGCAGAGATCATCCCAGGAGGCAGCTCAGATGATAATTCACACACACACGAGCTATTAAATCTCTGCACCAAATTCACCTTAAACCAGCAAATAATAGAGCCTACTAGACTAGAAAATACACTGGACTTCATCTTCACTAACAGTGATGATCTGATACATAATTTAACCGAATCAAAAACATTACACTCAGATCACAACATAATAGAGGTACAGACATGTATACACAGGTCTCCTGACCAGGAAAATGTCATCAGTCATGAGGGTGTCTTCACAAAATTCAACTTCAGTAACAAAAACATACAGTGGGAACAAGTCAACAGTTTGCTAAATGAAACAAGCTGATAAAATATCCTAAATAACACGGATCCAAACCTTTGCCTAGAAAAAAATAACTCTGTGGCACTTGAGGTCTGCTCAAGGCACATTCTATTAAGAAAAAGAAAGAGAAGATGTAAACTAGAGAGAGACGCTCCGTATATAGGCGAAGGCGAAGAATCATAAAGCTGATGAGAGGTCCCAGTATATCTGAAATACGAAGGGAGGCAGTGGTCAGGGAAATTGGAAATATCGAACTTAAGCTTAATGAATCTTACAGGAGACAAGAATCTCAGGAAGAGCTTAGAGCCAATAATGAAATTGAAAGAAACCCGAATTACTTCTTCTCCTACGCCGAACGTAAGGCGAGAGCAACATTCAATACTGGACCTCTGCTTAGACGAGATAGGACATACACAGATGACAGAAAAGAATGAGTGAGATACTAAAGTCCCAATACGATTCAGTGTTCAGCGAGCCACTACCCAGACTCAGAGTCGACAATCTAAAATTCTAAATGATTTTTTACTGAATGAGACTCAAAATTTGCTTACTTCAAAAACCTCTGATATTATTCTAACACCACAAGACTTCAAAAAGGAAATTAATGACATGCCTATGCCTAGGCTCTGGTTTGTGAAACTCTGTGTTCGTCAAGAACTGCAAGAAGCCCCTGTCACGTGCCTTCATTCCGTGGAGAGGGAGCATGGACACAGGGGTCATCCCACTCACTAAAAACAACAGACACAGCCCCACTCCACAAAGGTGGCATTAAAGCAGTGGTAAAGAACTACAGACTGATAGCACTAACATCCCATATCATAAAATCTTTGAAAGAGTTCTAAGAAATATGATCGCCAACCACCAAGATACCCATCAATTACACAACCCAGGGCAACATGGGTTTAGTGCAGGTCGCTCCTGTCTGTCCCAGCTACTGGATCACTATGAAAAGGACTTGGATGCTGTAGAGAATAAACAAAATGCATATGTAGTATACACAGACATTGCGAGAGCCTTCAACAAGTGCGAACATGGTGTAATAGCGCACAAAATGCGTGACAAAGGAATAACAGGAAAAGTTGGTAGATGGATCTATAACTTCATAACAAATAGAACACAAAATGTAATAGAAAACAGAACAGGTGAAGTCTGAAGCAGCTACAGTGATAAGTTCTGTGCCACAAGGCACAGTACTCGCTCCCATCCTGTTCCTCATCCTCATATCTGACATAGACAGAGATGTAAGCCACAGCTCTGTGGCTTTCAAACAAATCTTTAACTGGGCTGCAGAAAACAATATGAAGTTCAATGAAAAGAAATTTCAACTACTCAGATACGGAAAACTTGAGGGAATTAAAACGTTAACAACGTAAAAACAAATTCTAATCACACAACAGAAGGAACAGTAATGTGAAAGATCTGGGAGTGATAATGTCAGAGGATCTCACCTTCAAGGACCACAACAATGTATCTACCTCATCTGCTAGGAAAATGATAGGATGGATAATGAGAACCTTCAAAACTAGGGACACCAAGCCCATGATGATTCTCTTCTAATCGCTTGTTCTCTCTAGGCTGGAATACTGCTGTACACTAACTGCCTTCTTCAAAGGTGGCGAAATTGCTGACTTGGAGAGTGTACAGAGAACTTTCACAGCACACTTTAGTATGATAAAACACCTAAATTACTGGGAACAGATGAACTCTCTTGATTTGTATTCCCTGGAATGCAGGCGAGAAAGATACATGATAATATGCGCTTGGAAAATTCTAGAGAGATTAGTACCAAACTTGTACACGAAAATCACTCCCTACGAAAGCAAAAGACTCAATTAGAAGAAGTGGCACTACAAGTTCGCTAAGAGACAACACATTGAGTGTCAGGGGCCCAAGACTGTTCAACTGCTTCCCAGCATACAGAAGGGAGATTACCAACAGTCCCTTGTCTGTCTTCAAGAAGGCACTGGACAGGCACCTAAAGTCAGTACCTGATCAGCCAGGCTATGGTTCGTACGACTGTTTACGTGTGGCCAGCAGTAACAACCTGGTTGATCAGACCCTGATCCACCACGAGGCCTGGTCTCAGACCTAGCCGCGGGGGCGTTGATCCCCGAAACCCTCTCCAGGTAAACTCCAGGTAAGCTGTCTCAGTAATCTCCTACTTCTCCAATAATCCCCACTAACCTAGTAATCCCTCACAACCTCAGTAATCCCTCACAACCTCAGTAATCCCTCACAAGACCAGTAATCTTCCACTACTCCAGTAATCCCCGCTACCCTAGTAAACCCCACTACCCCTGTAATCCTCAATAATCCTCCGCTATCCCACTAATCCTTTACTACCACAGTAATCGCTACTACACAGTAATCTACCACTACCCCAGTAATCCCCTGTACCCCAGTAATCCTCCACTACCCCAGTAATCCCCTACTACCATAGTAATCTTCCAATTTCCACGGCAATCCCCTCTAGCCCAGTCATCCCCCACTGCACCAGTAATCCCCCAGTCTAGTAATCCCCCACAACAGCAGTAATCCCCTCTACCCCAGTAACCCCCCCTCACTCTCACTAAATATCAGTAATCTCCCTCCGTCAACACGTGAGGATTTAGGAGCATCAGAATCATCAATCATGATAAATCCTAATTAACTAAAGTTGCTGATTAAGCTAATCAGCAACTGTTAGACATTGTTGTATGTTCACACTCAGATATACACCTCGAAGTGTATATACACTGAGATATACACCTCACAATGTATATACACTGAAAAGTACACCTCACAGTGTATAAACACTGAGGTATACACCACGCAGTGTGGTATAAACCTTGGTAATAAATACCGACAAGTTGGTTTAGAAAGACACGTAAGCAAACACTATAACATATTTATTAGAAAACGTTTCGGTCCTGGGACCTTGATCACTTCTAACACACAGAGGTAGAAAGACATTATATATATAGGCGGAGAGTGAGATGTGACGCACGTGACCTGAGGAATGTCATAAGAACATAAGAATGGAGGAACACTGTAGAAGGCCTACTAGCCCATGCGAGGGAGGTCCTTATCCAAACAACCTCTGCCTATGAGGACGGGTAGACGATGAAATCATGTGACTCCTGTGTTGTTGGGTTGGTGCTGCTTAAGTATCATGTATGCCAATGTTTTTGAAATTTTGTAGTTTCCAGTGTTGCGTTCTATAGTGTCGGTGACGGCGATTAGTGAGGCTTCTAGGCACCGTCGGCGTCTGAGGTCTGGTTCGATGAGAACGAGTTGTGCCTCGTTCCAGTTCATCAAATGTCCCGTGGAGTCTCTGTGGAGGACACAGGCGTACCTTACATCGTCTCTGTTAGAGGCATTTCGATGCTCATTCAGGCGGACTGCAAGATCTCTGCCTGTCTCGCCTACATATTTCTTGGGACAGAACCCACAGGGTATAGTGTAGACGCCTGCTGTAGAAGTTAGAGGTGTGGGGCTGCGTTTCGTAGTGAGGTCTTTGACAGAGGATGTGTTTATGGTGGAAACGTTGATGTTACTCATAGCAAGTGCCCGGCGAGTATTCGTGGCAACATCGCCACATGGGAGTACTATGAACTGTTTAGGGGGCTGTTCCATGGGCGGTTTGTTGAGGATAGCTTGTGCCTTAAGTCTGCAATCTCGGATGAAGAAAGATGGGAACTGAAGACGTGTAAAGGCTTGTGTTATGTAAGTGCATTCTTCTTCTAGAAAACAAGGGCTGGAGATGCGAAGAGCTCTCAAGAAGAAGCCAATGAGGACTCCTCTCTTAGTGCGGGTGTCTTGGTGTGAATAAAAGTGTATAAGATCGTCCTTGTTGGTAGGTTTTCTATACACTTTGAAGAGAAGTTTGTCACTGTCGGGAGATCTGCACAGTAGAACGTCGAGGAAAGGAAGTTTGCCATCATTTTCGAGTTCAAGTGTAAACTTTATTGATGGTTCAACTGCATTGATCTTGTTGAGAAGGGCCTGGATATTGAGACGTCTCGGATAGAAAACCAATATATCATCAACGTATCTTAGCCAGGTAACGGTGTTGGGAATGAGGGTGCTGAATTTCTCTGTCTCCAAGTTTTCCATGAAGAGGTTGGCAAGCACAGCACTGAGCGGGCTGCCCATTGCCATCCCAAAGCATTGTTTGTAACAGTTGTCCTGATACTTGAAGAAGTTGAAATTAACACAAAGTTCCACTAGATTGATGAAATCTAGAAGAGGTAAAGGGAGGTCGTGGTTTTCAGTGAGCCTCTGTCTCAGAATGTTGATTGCAGCGTCAGTAGGAACGTTGGTAAAGAGAGCTGTGACATCGAAGGAAGCCATGCTTTTGTTTTTGACATTCAGGTTGGAAATTCGGGAGAGAAGGTCACGTGTTTGCTTACGTGTCTTTCTAAACCAACCACGCAGTGTATATACAGTGAGAGAATTACCTTACAGTGCATATACACAGATATATACACTTCATAGTGTATATGGGCTGAGATATACACCTTACAGTGCATACAGGAAAAGTTGGTAGATGGATCTATAACTTCCTAACAAACAGAACACAAAGAGTAATAGTAAACAGAATAAAGTCTGAGGGGACTACGGTGAAAAGTTCTGTTCCACAAGGCACAGTACTCCCTCCCATTCTATTCCTCATCCTCATTTCTGACATAGACAGAGATGTAAGCCATAGCTCTGTGTCTTCCTTTGCAGATGACACCCAAATTGCCATGGCAGTGACCTCCATCGAAGACACTGCAAGACTCCCAGCGGACATCAACCAAACCTTCAAATAAGCCACTCCAAACAATATGAAGTTCAATGAAGAGAAATTTCAACTACTCAGATATGGAAAACTATAGGAAATTAAAACTGTATCAGGGTATATGACAAATTCTAACCATACAAAGAGGAAAAAAGTAATGTGAAGGACCTGGGAGTGATAATGTCAGAGGATCTCACCTTCAAGGATCACAACAATGTATCTACCTCATCAGCTAGGAAAATGATAGGATGGATAATGGGAACCTTCAAAACTAGGGACACCAAGCCCATGATGATTCTCTTCAAATCGCTTGTTCTCTCTAGGCTGTAATACTGCTGTACACTAACTGCCCTCTTCAAGGCAGGAGAAATTGCTGACCTGGAGAGTGTACGAAGAACTTGCACAGCACAAGTAAGTACCATAAAGCTCCTGAATTACTGGAAACGGTTGAACTCTCTTGATTTGTATACCTTGGAACGCAGGCGAGAAAGATACATGATAATATACACTTGGAAAATCCTAAAGGGATTAGTACCAAACTTGCACACAAAAATCACTCCCTGAGAAAGCAAAAGACTCGTCAGGATTTGCAACATTCCCCCAATAAAAAGCAGGAGCGCCACGAGTACACTGAGAGACAACACAGTAAGTGTCAGGGGCCCAAGACTGTTCAACTGCCTCCCAGTATACATAAGGGGAATTACCATAGACCCCTGGCTGTCTTCAAGAAGGTGCTGGACAGACACCTGAATAACCCGGCTGGTCAGGCACTGACCAGCCAGGCTGTGGTTCGTACGTTTTTCTGCGGGTGGCCAGCAGTAACAGCCTGGTTGATCAGACCCTGATTCACCATTGGGCCTGGTCTCAGACCTGGTCGCGGGGGCGTTGACCCCCGAAACCCTCTCCAGGTATACTCCAGGTATATACACTGAGGTATGCACCTCACAGTGTATATACACTGAGCTATACACCTCAAAGTGTATGTACACTGAGCGACTTACCCAGAATGCCACCCACTACTAATAAGAAATTTTACCACTACGGGGATCTAACCTGGGTGCTCTCAGTTGTGAGAAGTCAGCACTGACCTTATCCTTGTTGAGGTCGTCTACCAGAGGTCTAGCCCAGTCGACAACCACCTTTGTCGACCTCCAGAGTGTCTGGTCGAGAGAAAACAGGCGCCTCCTGGCCATAGCTGCTGCCTGATGCGTCTCGTATTCTACGAAGGCGTAGTTCCTGGGCCGATCAGGTAGATGCCGGTGCATAGTCACCTTGGTGACGTGCTCCGTTAGGTGCTGCAGTTCCTGCAGGAGGTCCTGGCGGTTCCTGTTGCCTGGTATGTTACCTAAATACAAGCACCTGTTGTCCACGCTCAGTCGTACCCCTATGTAATACCCGGGGCGAATTTCGTACCTGTTAAGGCGTTCAACGGCAGCTTGGGCTACCGTTGGGCTGGCGTACCTAACAAAGGCGTACCCACGGTTGGTACCTGAGAAGTCCATCAGGAGGCGCAGGAGGTAGACCTCACCAACGACCTCCAAGACTGGCAGTAACTCATCTTCATAGAGGTCCCTGGGCAGCCTTCCCACAAAGACTTCAGACCCTCGCTGTGGTTCTGGCCTCTCCCAGCCTGCTGGAGGCCCATAGACCCTCTGACCGTTCTTCGAGACCACTCTGATGCCCTTACTGCTGAGTACCTGCTGGGTAGCGGCCTCTGCTCGGCTCCAGTTCATCTGATAGTAGCTTCTGGTCTCCCCACTGGCCGCCATCTTTGTTTTCCTTCGGTAAGCAGGACAGTGGAGGTACCTCCGAGAAGCCAGACACTGCCTCTGTGACCTCCTGTTGTTAATGTGGAGGCAGACACCGCCTCAGTGACCTCCTGTTGCAACTGTGGAGGCTAGACACTGTCTCTGTGATCTCCTGTTTTCACTGTTTCACTGTGGAGGCCAGACACAGCCTCTGTGACCTGTTTTCACTGTGGAGGCCAGAAATGACCTCCAGCAACCTCCCAGTTCCAGCAGAGGACAAGTACTGACACAATAGACCTCAGAGTTGAGGGTGACCGGAGAGTAATTTCAGACCAGTGTCCACACACAAACACACGCACACACACACACATACCTCAGTAAGGAGTCGTTCAAGACCCTGTATACCATTTACGTCAGGCCCATACTGGAGTATGCAGCACCAATTTGGAATCCACACCTAGTCAAGCACGTCAAGAAATTAGAGAAAGTGCAAAGGTTTGCAACAAGACTAGTCCCAGAGCTACGGGGATTGTCCTACGAAGAAAGGTTGAGGGAAATCGGCCTGACGACACTGGAGGCCAGGAGGGTCAGGGGAGACATGATAACGACATATAAAATACTGCGCGGAATAGACAAGGTGGACAAAGACAGGATGTTCCAGAGATGGGACACAGACACAAGAGGTCACAATTGGAAGTTGAAGACTCAGATGAATCGAAGGGATGTTAGGAAGTATTTCTTCAGTCATAGAGTAGTCAAGTCATGGAATAGTCTAGAAAGTGAAGTAGTGGAGGCGGGAACCATACATAGTTTTAAGGCGAGGTATGATAAAGCTCATGTAGCAGGGAGAGAGAGGACCTAGTAGCAATCAGTGAAGAGGCGGGGCCAGGAGCTATGACTCGACCCCTGCAACCACAAATAGGTGAGTACAAATAGGTGAGTACACACATACACACACACACACACGCGCGCGCGCACGCACTCACACACACACACACACACACACACACACACACACACACACACACACACACACACACACACACACACACACACACACACACACTGCAAGAAGGCGTTTGACACAGTTCCACACAAGAGATTGGTGCAAAAACTGGAGGACCAAGCAGGGATAACAGGGAAGGCACTACAATGGATCAGGGAATACTTGTCAGGAAGACAGCAGCGAGTCATGGTACGTGGCGAGGTGTCAGAGTGGGCACCTGTCACCAGCGGGGTCCCACAGGGGTCAGTCCTAGGACCAGTGCTGTTTCTGGTATTTGTGAACGACATGACGGAAGGAATAGACTCTGAGGTGTCCCTGTTTGCAGATGACGTGAAGTTGATGAGAAGAATTCGCTCGATCGAAGACCAGGCAGAACTACAAAGGGATCTGGACAGGCTGCAGACCTGGTCCAGCAATTGGATCCTGGAGTTCAATCCCACCAAGTGCAAAGTCATGAAGATTGGGGAAAGGCAAAGAAGACCGCAGACGGAGTACAGTCTAGGGGGCCAGAGACTACAAACCTCACTCAAGGAAAAAGATCTTGGGGTGAGTATAACACCAGGCACATCTCCTGAAACGCACATCAACCAAATAACTGCTGCAGCATATGGGCGCCTAGCAAACCTCAGAACAGCATTCCGACATCTTAATAAGGAATCATTCAGGACCCTGTACACCGTGTACGTTAGGCCCACATTGGAGTATGCGGCACCAGTTTGGAACCCACACCTAGCCAAGCACGAAAAGAAACTAGAGAAAGTGCAAAGGTTTGCAACAAGACTAGTCAAAGAGCTAAGAGGTATGTCCTACGAGGAGAGGTTAAGGGAAATCAACCTGACGACACTGGAGGACAGGAGAGATAGGGGGACATGATAACGACATACAAAATACTGAGAGGAATTGACAAGGTGGACAAAGACAGGATGTTCCAGAGATTGGACACAGTAACAAGGGGACACAGTTGGAAGCTGAAGACACAGATGAATCACAGGGATGTTAGGAAGTATTTCTTCAGCCACAGAGTAGTCAGTAAGTGGAATAGTTTGGGAAGCGATGTAGTGGAGGCAGGATCCATACATAGCTTTAAGCAGAGGTATGATAAAGCTCACGGCTCAGGGAGAGTGACCTAGTAGCGATCAGTGAAGAGGCGGGGCCAGGAGCTCGGACTCGACCCCCGCAACCTCAACTAGGTGAGTACAACTAGGTGAGTACACACACACACACACACACACACACACACACAAACACACAGAGAGGGGACACAGAAACAAGGGGTCACAATTGGAAGCTGAAGACTCAGATGAGTCAAAGGGATGTTAGGAAGTATTTCTTCAGTCATAGAGTAGTTAGGAAGTGGAATAGTCTGGCAAGCGATGTAGTGGAGGCAGGAACTATACATAGTTTTAAGACGAGGTATGATAAAGCTCATGGAGCAGGGAGAGAGAGGACCTAGTAGTGGTCAGTGAAGAGGCGGGGCCAGGAGCTGAGTCTCGACCCCTGCAACCACAATTAGGTAAGTACACACATACACACACACATACACACACACACATACACACACACATACACACACATACACACACACACACACACACACATACACACACAAGAAGGCCTTTGACACAGTTCCTCACAAGAGATTAGTGCAGAAGCTAAAGCATCAGGCGCATATAACAGGAAGGGCACTGCAATGGATCAGAGAATACCTGACAGGGAGGCAACAACGAGTCATGGTACGTAATGATGTATCACAGTGGGCACCTGTGACGAGCGGGGTCCCACAGGGGTCGGTCCTAGGACCAGTGCTATTTTTGGTATATGTGAACGACATGACGGAAGGGTTAGACTCAGAAGTGTCCCTGTTTGCAGATGATGTGAAGTTAATGAGGAGAATTAAATCTGATGAGGACCAGGCAGGACTTCAAAGAGACCTGGACAGACTGGACACCTGGTCCAGCAAATGGCTTCTCGAATTTAATCCTGCCAAATGCAAAGTCATGAAGATGGGGGAGGGGCACAGAAGACCACAGACAGAGTATAGGCTAGGTGGCCAAAGACTGCAAACCTCACTCAAGGAGAAAGATCTTGGGGTGAGTATAACACCGAGCATGTCTCCGGAAGCACACATCAATCAGATAACTGCTGCAGCATATGGGCGCCTGGCAAACCCGAGAACAGCATTCCGATACCTTAGTAAGGAATCATTCAAGACACTGTACACCGTGTAGTCAGGCCCATACTGGAGTATGCAGCACCTGTTTGGAACCCGCACTTGATAAAGCACGTCAGGAAACTAGAGAAAGTACAAAGGTTTGCGACAAGGTTAGTTCCAGAGCTAAGGGGAATGTCCTATAAGAAAGATTAAGGGAAATCGGCCTGACCTCACTGGAGGACAGGAGGGTCAGGGGAGACATGATAACGACATATAAAATACTGCGTGGAATAGACAAGGTGGACAAAGACAGGATGTTCCAGGGAGGGGACACAGAAACAAGAGGCCACAATTGGAAGTTGAAGACACAAATGAGTCAGAGAGATAGTAGGAAGTATTTCTTCAGTCATAGAGTTGTAAGGCAGTGGAATAGCCTAGAAAATGACGTAGTGGAGGCAGGAACCATACACAGTTTTAAGACGAGGTTTGATAAAGCTCATGGAGCGGGGAGAGAGAGGGCCTAGTAGCAACCGGTGAAGAGGCGGGGCCAGGAGCTAGGACTTGACCCCTGCAACCACAAATAGGTGAGTACAAATAGGTGAGTACACACAACACACACACATATACACACACGTGGTTCTCTGCTTTGAATATATAGCAGAGCTGCAAGTAGAGAGAGTATTAGGAGTTGAATGGGAAAAGCCTGACTATAAAAGAGAGGGACTACATAGGGTTCAGGAACTTCCTGCAGGAGGTCCCGTGGGACAGAGAACTGGCAGGAAAGCCAGTAAACGAAATGATGGAATATTATCTTAAAATTATTCCACACGTCCGGGGATCCAAACCCCCGGCCCAGGTTTGGAGCCCGGAAAAAGAAAAATTTAAAAACAAACCAAAAATTCATCCCAAAAAACACTGCCAGGGGGGCCCAGAAGGGGCCGTTACACAAAGAAACTCAGCCCAATCATAACACCCCCCCTTCAGAGTGCAGGCACTGTACTTCCCATCTCCAGGACTCAAGTCCGGCCTGCCGGTTTCCCTGAATCCCTTCATAAATTTTACTTTGCTCACACTCCAACAGCACGTCAAGTATAAAAAACCATTTGTCTCCATTCACTCCTATCAAACACGCTCACGCATGCCTGCTGGAAGTCCAAGCCCCTCGCACACAAAACCCCCTTTTAAACCCCCTCCCTCCAACCCTTCCTAGGCCGACCCCTACCCCGCCTTCCTTCCACTACAGACTGATACACTCTTGAAGTTATTCTGTTTCGCTCCATTCTCTCTACATGTCCGACCACCTCAACAACCCTTTCCCTCAGCCCTCTGGACAACAGTTTTGGTAATCCCGCACCTCCTCCTAACTTCCAAACTACGAATTCTCTGCATTTATTCACACCACACATTGCCCTCAGACATGACATCTCCACTGCCTCCAGCCTTCTCCTCGCTGCAACATTCATCACCCCATGCTTCACACCCATATAAGAGCGTTGGTAAAACTATACTCTCATACATTCCCCTCTTTGCCTCCAAGGACAAAGTTCTCTGTCTCCACAGACTCCTAAGTGCACCACTCACTCTTTTTCCCTCATAAATTCTATGATTCACCTCATCTTTCATAGACCCATCCGCTGACACGTCCACTCCCAAATATTGAATACGTTCACCTCCTCCATACTCTCTCCCTCCAATCTGATATTCAATCTTTCATCACCTAATCTTTTTGTTATCCTCATAACCTTACTCTTTCCTGTTTTTCACCTTTAATTTTCTTCTTTTGCACACCCTACCAAATTCATCCACCAATCTCTGCAGCTTCTCTTCAGAATATCCCAAGAGCACAGTGTCATCAGCAAAGAG